GGAGGAGGAGGAGGAGGAGGAGGACGACGACGACGATGACAATTGTGGGGTCCTTGGTGCTCTCTGAGCTTGGTGGTTTTCTTGCAGACATTTCATTGCCCAACTAGGTAACATCATCAGTGCTAGAAGGGATGAGGTTTGTGAAGTGGGGAGGAGGAGGAGGAAGAGGAGGAGAAGGTAGTGGTGGTGGTGGAGGAGGAGGAGGAGGAGGAGGAGGAGGAAGGACTGGGGGGTCCATGGTGCTCTCTGAGCTTGGTTGTTTTCTTGCAGATGTTTCATTACCCAACTAGGTAACATCATCAGTGCTAGAAGGGAGTGAGCTTTACTCTCTGTTTTATCTCTCTTAGATCTGTGGTCCTCAACCTTTCTGGCTCCACAGACTGGCAGTGGCGGCGGTGGTAGTGGGGAGGAGAGGGGATGACTTTGCACGCGTGCTCGCTGCTTTTGCAAATGGAGCTTTGCATGCTTGCCCACCACTTACGCGGCCCGGTTCCCAACGGGCCGCAGACTGGGTCCAGGCTGTGGGTTGGGGACCCCTGTCTTGGATAACAAGAAACAAGGAAAAGAAGCCACCAGTTTGCAAGGAGACAGAAGATGAAGTCAGACCTCTGGAAATCTGTGTGTCTCTGTGTGTGTGTGTAGAAAAGGGGACCAGGAGAATTTGGGTAGCTGCTGTTGCACACATCTGCCTCCTCTCTGCAAAACAGATACAGTCCTTCTTCTACTGCAGTGTTTTCCAATCTTGGCAGCTGGAAGATGTGTGGACTTCAACTCCCAGAATTCCCCAGCCAGCCATGCTGCAAGACAGGCTCCTGTAAGGTGAAGAACATGGACGGATCTGGACTTACGCAGGACGGGAGGTGATCGTGGGAAGGTGAGGTAGACTCAGGGCTGGTTAGAGAATGACACTTGGAAAAAGCAGGAAAGAGAGAAGAGGGAGGCCGCAACAATGGAGGGACGTTTTCCGGATCACTCAAAAACATTCAGATGTTAAGAGGAGGGAGAAGGGAGTCAGCCAATCGTGTGGGAAACGTGACACGCGTTTCCTAAAGCAAAGTTTTGAATTTTCAAGAGCAGCATCCCTGGAAGAAGACGGTTTCTCAGCAAGGAGAAGACGGTCCTGTCCTGTCCACGCTGTGCCAGGGCCACCACAGCAATGGCTTCTCTCAAGTTATTTTGCATAAATCAAGATCCAGCACATCAGGATGCCCGGTCAAGTCGACCCACCCGTGCGCTAAATAAATAAGGTTAACAGGAAAGAGAAATTCAAGTGTGCGTACGGGATTTACAATCGTGGTTCCCCTAAACCCTGAACGCTCCGAGGGCGACAAAGCAGATGTACGTGCACATGACAGAGTCGGTCGGGTGGGGGAGAAGGAAGAGGTTATGGCTGAGAGCAGGTGCTGCTCACGTTGGTGACTGACCGGCAGCTGATCTTCCGGATCGAGTGCAGGGCGACTGTGCAGCAGCCCCGCAGCAGAGAGCTGATGTTGTAAATGGGTTGCCCCTGCCTCCGCTGCGAACGGCACAGCCAAGCCACCGTAGGCACCGCCGGCACAACCACCGCCAAGAGATCCACAAGGAAATGGCGGCTCCAGTAAGTTGTGGGCTCGGCCGAAGAGCCCACTGGGGCTGCTGCCCCCGCGGTGTCCTGTCCTGGCTCAGTTGCCTCATCTTCAGGGCTGCAGACGATGCTCACGGATGGGCTGGCGCTGCAAGGCTGATGCACAGCCGGGTTTTGCGAGGCCGGCTGGCCATCGGGCTTCTCGGTGGGTTCTCCAGCACTGACCACGACAGCAGAGACGGGTTCGGGGGCCGTCCTGTCTGTGTGGTTTGAGCAGCTGGGGACACAACTCTCTGAGCTGGTGGGCTCGGCCACCTCTTCTATCTCAGAGGGCCACTCCGAGGTGGGACTGGCGAGGCTGCCCGCTTGAGACTTCATGACCTTCTCCAAGATGGTGTCCAGATCTGGCTGGTAATGTCCGAAGTCTGTCTGGATGGCTTGTTCCTGCATGCAGCTAGCTTGTACGGCGGCCTCCACGCTCTGCTGAGATCCCGCTAGTTTCTCGTACGTGGAGCTGGTGGGCATCTGGGACCCCAGGGTGTAGGAGGTGTGTAGGGACGAGGCATCGTCAGGACCACACTCCACACCTGAGGACAGGAGGCTGCTGTGGTCCAGCAAATCTGTCCGGCTCAAGGAGTTCTCCGCAGCCACGAAGCCGCTATCGGCTCCGTCGTCCACGGAGATGGTTTGAGAGCCGCCGATGTTCCTGTCCGTCGCTCCCTGGTCACTCAGCTTGGTGTACGTGGAGCTGCGGGTGAGCGAGCGTGCAGGAGATCCCCCAGCCGACTCGGTGTGCCCTTCCTCTTTGACCGTCCCATTCTGCGCAACCTCCATGCTGTGCAGCAGCGTCTCCAGCTTCCTGTTCTGAATGTTGATGTCCACAAAGTACTTCTGGAGGCCTTTGTCTTTCTCGATCAGGTTATTCTTGACGGTGTCGATGACCTGCTTGAGCTGCTTAATCTCCTTCCGGGCTTCTTTGAGGGCCAGCTGAGCCTCCACTCGGTGACATTCCTCTTCAATCCAGTCTTCCTGCATCCTGGAGAGTTGGGTCTTCAGGTCTTCAATCTCGCCATCCCTGCAGGGACAAACAAGTAGTATGTCATGTGTCTGATTAACGAAACACTTAAAAGGACTTTCAGGCATATTTTTCCCTAAAAGCATTTATTAAGGTTACAGAGACGTCAGTACAGCATGGTGGAAATGCTTAGGTCTGGCTTCTCTTCCATTACGCATATACATTCTAAGCATTTCCCACCCCCTTATTTTGGGGTCATGGTTCACATCTTCCAATCAACTTGGAAGATGTGATTTACTTCCGGTTTCTTTCTCCCGGGCTATCCTTATTCTCCTCCCTTTTTCCCTGTTGCCTGGTTTAACTATAAAAATACCAGACAGTTCTGCATATTGTCAAAGCAAGAATAAACAGTATTTGCAGCGTTGACATAGCAGATGGTCACTGGGATGATCGCAATATACAGTACTGGTATTGGGTGCCAAAACACATTATTAGGGTTGGGTTAAATTCTACATACAGGGCAGTGCTGATGTCTTTGCTTGTTTTCTGGAACCTTCTCTGCACTTACTTGAGAGTATAACGCACACAGTGCTGAGTAGAGCTTCTGCTAGGCACAGGATAATATTTCAGAGACCCTATGTCATGGTTCCCAAGAAGCAGCTTTTCAAAGAACGTTGAGGCTTTATTTACCTTAAAGAATCCTTTTATTGCTACATAGCTTCGGCACGTACATAATGAAGCCAAAAACTGAATCCTCCCACTCCCCAATCACCCCGTAACCAAGCATAACTCACTCCTTCATTTTACAGTCATCAATCACGTTCTCCAATTAGTTTGAAGTGTGAACTGTCCCTCCCGTAACTCCTCTGGTTACAGCTGACCTTGGCAATGCTGCACTGAAATATTGTTGTGGTTAACTATCATATTTTCCCACCCGCTATTCTAACATTGTCTGCTTTAACTCTAGAAGTGATATGCAGGCTAAATAAAACATGTTTGCTTCTTCATATATGGCAAGCCAGAACATCCGATGTTAGCAGTCTTGACACCCTATTTCAGTGATGGCGAACCTTTTAGAGACCGAGTGCCCAAAAACTGGCCCCGCCCCCACTCCATCCCTTGCCCTGCCCCCGCTCCGCCCCCATCCCCCGCCAAGCCTGCCTGCAGGGCCACTCACTGCCTCCCGGGGGTGCCGCAGATCGCCCAGGCAGCCCAGCAGCGCCATGGAGGCCACGCCCTCTGCCCGCGTCCCGCAGCATCAACTGTGCACGATGGAGGGTGAGGGCAGAGTCTTGTCTACGCTGCCTGGCTGCCATGTCCTTAGCTGCGCTGCTCTGCGTGGGCCATACTCAGGGGCGACTCTCCTTCAGGGGGGCTGCTGGAGAGGAGGGGGTCACGGGGGGAGGCGAGGCTGGGGCAACGGCATGTATGCCCACAGAGAGGGCTCCGAGTGCTGCCTCTGGCACCCGTGCCATAGATTCGCCACCACTGCCCTATTTGATAATACAAGTAGTCCTTGACTTACAACCACAGGGACTAACACCAGGCAACGAAGGAGAAAACAATATCCTAATCAAGGAACTACCAAAGAGTAAACTGTATGTACCCCTACCAACACTGGCAGGGCAAGCTACTGTACATAAACAGGGAGCAAACTCCACACTTACTCACACTGATGATGTTCCCTAGCTGGGTCATGAAACATCTGCGAGAAAATAACCAAGCTCAAAGTGGCTTAATATACTGAATCTGTAATTTTGAGTGACTGATAAATTGACTTTTGAATTAAAACATTGATGAAAGATTATTTGAAGGGGGGAGACAACATGGATATCACATACGTATCAAAAAAGCGACAGGATGCCAACATTCAATATTTTCTCCTGAAGGACTTAGCCTGGAAAATCAAGAGCCTGCAGAAGCAATACTTCAAGGCAAGATAAATACTCTCCCGGAGGAAATATATGCAGTGTTAGGACAAATACAAATGACAATGGACTCAAACCACGACGAAATTCGAAACAACTTTGAGGATTTAAATATGCCTATTTCCAATCTAAATCTACAATTAAAAAACACCCAGGAAATAACAACAAAGGAACAAACAAATCAGACAGCAGATTGCAAACTAGAAGAGTATGATCAAATTGATGAAATGGCAAACGAAAAGAATTACAATTGGACACAAACAGGAAAAAAATCTACAAGGTTCTGACACAACAAGGAAAAATGGAATTATTAGGAGAACCATTAAAGTTTGGGGGACAGAAAGAATTTATCTTACTTACTTCGTCTTTTGTATTCCCAACATTTGTAAAAATACAGGAACTGTTGGGTAAGCGGATTACATCAACTTGGAAAATTACTTGGCAAAAGAAGAAGATCAGAGACAGATATAAGAGATTTGACTCGCCCTACCAGATGGATTATTACGTGAATAAACATTTGTTTGAATATGGCTAAAAGAACAGAGAATTTTGAACATAAAGGGGCCTTATAACAAGAAGGATAATGAGATTTAAATAATATAGTATGTTTTATAATATATTAAATGTTAAAAGAGTAGGCTGATGTAACTTTTATTAATATATAAGTAAAATGTAAATTGATTAAAAAGGATGTTATATCTAGATACTATAAGACAGATTAAAAAGTATAGTATTTTTATAATGCAGGACATAAAATATTGGGACGATGTACCTAAAGGGGAAAATTTAGACAGTTAGATGACTAATATGAAGAAATTAAGACTGATAAGAATTGGACTGAATATAAGGGAATTTAAGCGAACAAAAATTATAAAAATAGGATGCATGCTGAACTAATGAGATGATGGTTATGAGAATAATATAAGCTGGAAAAAAATGTTATTTAGAGAGATTATTATTATTTGTACAAATGTAAAAAAATGCCTATACCTAATCATTTATATATTGAAACTGTTAAGAATTATATTTTGGCTAAGGTCGAAGAAGAAAAATACAACTGAGAGAAAGGAAGATCAAAGAAATGTATCATTAATTAATATACTAATTGTGGAATTATCAAATTTAATCATTATTGATTGTTAATTAGTTATTACTGTCCTTTTTTCCCCTTGTTAAAATATAAACCAAGAGAACACGCTGTGCAACAGGTGCTGGAGATAGTTAAAGTTAAAAACCAATAAAATATCTATAAAAAAGAAAATAACCAAGCTACTACTCCTCCTCCACTCTGCAAACCCCATTCCCTGCTAGCACTGGTGACAAACTCCACATTTCCTCCTCCTCCTCCTCCTCCTCCTCCTCC